AGAGTGAATACAGCAACTAGACAGTGGTTACCATAGCAGCAGCCATGTGGTGGAGTGCCAGGTCAGAAGCCAGTGGGAGTGGGTTGGCACATGAGCAGAAGGTGAGGAAGTGGAGGGCATTCAGCTGTGAAGGGTGGAAGGGAGAGAACTAAGGTATACAGGCAGAGGAAAAGGCATGAGAGTCTGAGCATAACCGAACACCTGTAGGAAGAACACAGAAACAAGGTGAGGGTGAAGTACAAGAGCAAATAGCCATTGCAAACTGAGTGTAGCAGGGCAGGTCTGGAGCTGAGAAACAATAGCTTCATAGTTGGCCCAAAGGCCAGCGGATGGCATGGAGGTTAAAGATGGTTAGATCTCATATGACCAACTTTACAGTTCAAGTCTTATACTTGGTGGCTCCAAAATCTCACTGGGCCTGTGTGCTCTGCACACACACCGAGGGCCTTGATGGGATGTGGAGGGACTGACTGGTGGGCATCAGCTTCCCCAGCTTCATCTACGTTGTATGGATCCAGGTGGGGATCAGGATGATCCCCTAGAAGCCAGGCTGCTCTTGCTAGAAGAGGCCCTGGTGATGAGCAGGCAGCAATGTCCACACGCCCGCCCACCCACCTCTGTCTTCACTCTCCCCTTCGTAGTCTCTGGGTCTCTCCAGTGCCTCAGCCAGCATGTTCGGGAGTGACGGCAGTGAGCTGATACTGCATTTTGTGACCCAGTGCAATGCCCAGCTCACCCGTGTGTTGGAAGAGCAGCAGAAGCTGGTGCAGCTGGGCCAGGCCGAGTAAGTCCTATGGCATGGTGGTTCAGAGTGGTGGCTGAGGAGGGGGGACTCAGCCCCCGTCCCAGCTGGCCCCAGGAGACCAATCCAAGCAGAGCCAAAAGAGAGTGTCGTGGAGCTGTCCTGCTGCTTTGCTGGGACTAAACCCAGCAGCCTGTCTGACAGCTTTTGTCAGCCAGCAGAGGGCCCTCTTCCCTCGGGGCTCAGTAAGCAGTGTAGCAAGGAGCCCCTGCCTTTGACCCAGAGACACACAGTTTTCTTTTCCATCTTCCAGGAAGAAGAAGACAGACCAGTTCCTGCGAGATGCAGTGGAAACCAGACTGAGGATGCTGATCCCGTACATCGAGCACTGGCCTCGGGTACAGAGTCCCTGTCCAGGCCCCAAAGCACAGGAATATTAGCATTTATAATTCTCTGTACCTTCCGCTCAGAGGGACTATGCGCACTGTTCACAAATTAGCTCATTAACCTTCGTACACCCAGGAATACTCAGTACTCCTGGTAGAGCTGTGTTTCAGACCAGGGAATGCCAGACCATAACTCTGAGAGAGCCCTCTGCATGCAAATGTGAGTGGCCCTGGTGTTGTCCCGGGTGGACTCCTGGCCTGAGTGCTGCCAGGTCGCCGATGAGGGGGATTCCACGAGGTTAGAACAGCCAGAGATGTGACGGGCATCTTCGTGCGGTCCCAGCTGTAGTGTTACAATGTCACAGACTGGGGCTTCCTGTCTGCTTGTCATTGTGATCCTTGGGGACTGGCATATTCATCCCTAGGACTCTTTTCCCCCCTGAAGCTTCATTTTTTTCTCTGTTTCAAAGCCTGTCACAGCCGATCATTCTCTCAGTGACAAAGTGGTGTCGAGTCAGAGCTCCTCAGCAGTGAGAGGGCCTCAGATCATCTGGTGTCCTCCGCCCAGCTGGAAGACTATGGAGCTGGAGTTTCGGTTACTTGTTGACAGACAGTTGAATGTCTGTCGCACACCTGTCTCAAAGCCAGGCCAGGTGTGGAGGGAGCGGAGGGAGTGCAGTGCCCCGCTGACACTCGCCGCACTTGGTTTTCAGACCGCTGGCCCTGCCCACTGTCCCTCGTGAGCAGAGCAGAGCAGTAGGAGTGCCATGTTGGTTGCATTCCTCACACTCCTTCCTAATGCAGCTCCGGTTTCCTACTGGGCTCCTCTACTAGGAGCAAACTTTCCAGCCAGCCAGAACGTCTCTCCAGAAGGCACAGCCAATGGATTTTAGAGTCAAGTGACAAGACCTTGTCCTGGTAGGGCAGGAGGAGCCAGTGTCTTCCATGTTTGAACCATCAGTTGTACTAGATGAGGGATTTTTGGTTTCAGAAAACAGAAATCAACTGAGTTAAGGAAAAAAAACAAAAACAAAAAAAGCAGAGAGGATTGAATGTGCAGCTGCAGTGCTGCATCAGGGCAGGGGTGCTGCTGGGCCCCGAGAGGGGCCTGGAATTGGGTCCTGGACACCCACGGACTCCCCTCCTAGCTCGCTCTCTTCCTCTCCATGACAGAATAGTGTGCCCTTTCCTGTCCCTGCTCTCGGTACTCTTATTAAAGAGACCAGTCTAGTCCCTCTGGCTGTCTGCATTCCCAGTTTTAGAGGCTGAGAGACTCTGACTTGGCTGGTGTAGGACAGGAAGGTGCCCCTGGCCCCCATCAGCTGTAGTCAGGGTTATTGGCTGTCAGGAGCTCACACGGGTGGGCAGAGACGGTGGTTTCCAGAGGACCAGAGCTGGGCGGCGCCCTGCCGTCCTTCAGTGGAGAGGTGAGATCCAACCTCCCCCGTGAAGTGCAGCACCTCTGCTCTCTCCCCCCAGGCCCTCAGCATCCTCATGCTCCCTCACAACATCCCGCCCAGCCTGAACCTGCTCACCAGCATGGTGGATGACATGTGGCACTACGCCGGGGACCAGTCCACTGACGTGAGTGCTTCCTGCAGGCCCCTGGGGCACTGGGAAACTCGGCCTAAGCGTTTCTGCAAGGTGGTGGTGAAATGTCCTTGATCATCAGTCTCTTCAGGGGGCCTGCAGTGTCATTCCCATCTGATGTATGAGGAAGGTCCCTCAGCATGCCACGGTGGGTCTAGGTCAGGTGCATTTGGGGACCAGCATTGGAGCCACAAGCCAGTGATTATTTCCTCTGAGCTACGGTGGTGACAGGCATCATGGGCCCTTGCGATTGGGCACCGCTTTGTAGCCATTTCCCCTCCCTCTCCTTAGATACAGATTCTGCAGAGAACTCCCCAGAGTGTGTCTTTCCTGAGACTGGGTTTGGGGAAAACAATGCCATGGAGACACTCATTGCTTTAAAAAGAAACTCCCTTGCCAGCCCATCTCGGCCTGCTTTGCCAAGAGATTAATGAACTCCTTTAAACAAGCACCAGGAGAGAATCTAACTTGTTAATGCTCTCATATTTCTGATAGGAAATTATTTAAAAAAAAAAAAAGTATACCTTCATTAAAGAAATTAAAATGTGATAGTACTTCATGGAATCCAGGATGAGGAAGCACAGGGCTACGCCCACCACAGTCATAACAAAGTGCTTTAATAAACTCCCCCCATGTGGGACTGTACCACCAGCGGAGATGCTAGGAAAATGAAATTAGGGAGCAAAGAAATGAAAGGAATAAAACACCGGGCAGCTGACTGTCGTCTGAAGAGTAGTTTTCCAGGACAGTCAGAAGTTGCTGAGGGACTTGCACTCTCGGTTTTGTCCAGATAATGCACACAGCAGTCCGTGATCCTGTCTCCGCCCTCCCTTTGCTGAGGAGCACGCTGAGGACTGGCCAGAACTGGCCGATCACAGAGCCTCCCCAGCACTCAGCCGTCCTCAGACTCAATCTCTCTCCAGCAGTTCCCCAATGGACTGGATGTAGCCAGATCCACTGGGCTGGGTACCAGACACCTCAAATCCTGACACTTCAGACCCACTGACTCTAACCTAAGAGGTCGGGCTTGAGGTGGTATTTTTAATCCCCCAGGTTTCTGATGCCCAGCCAAGTTTGGGACAGTATTGTGCAGAGGGCCATATGTGTCTGCGGGAATGAAGAACTCAGAGGAAGCCCAGGAGTCCCTGTAGCCTTGAGTCAGAACTACCCCAGGCTGCCCCTAGCACACAGCAGTAATGACCCTTCCCCGGGGGCTTCTTCACAGTTTAACTGGTACACCCGCCGAGCCGTGCTGGCTGGCATCTACAATACGACCGAGCTGGTGATGATGCAGGACTCCTCCCCAGACTTTGAAGACACTTGGCGTTTCCTGGAAAACCGGATTAACGACGCAATGAACATGGGCCACACTGCCAAGCAGGTAGTCGGGAGCTAGTTTGGGACCCTGCCTCAGTAAGCACACCTGTCTTCCTTGGGCCCTAGCTGGCCACCCGGTTGGTCTCTTGCTCTCTTCTGGCCTCGGCTGACAGTCTTGAGGTCCTTCTCAGGAGACTGGTTCATCGTGCCAGTCCTGCTCTAAGGGCCATGCTTTGCCCATTTGTGACTGTGTCGTTCATACTGCTTCCTCCAGCACACAAGGCCCTCTTAACTCCACCCATGGGGGCACATAGGGCTTCTGATTTGTCCCATCTGTCTGACCTGTGCACTCGTGCTGAGGGCTTAAGGGAACCTGACTCCAACTCAATCCTTTCTAGGTGAAGTCCACTGGAGAGGCCTTAGTGCAGGGGCTCATGGGGGCAGCGGTGACGGTAAGTATGGCCCAGCTCCCTCCTCCCTAGCCCTGTTCTGCCCAGCCCTGGGGTACTTTACAGCATGTGTCACACACAAAGTTTTATTGCCTTAAGGCAAATGATAAGACTAGTTCAGCCCCAATGTCTGGGTACCAAATAGCCCACCTTTTCATTATTTTTACTGGCATCAAGAAATATTGCTGACTCGGGACCAGCAGTTGGCATAATGGCTATGTCACTGGACTCCCATGGAGTCGACTGCACTTTGAGTCCTGGACCTGGTGGTTTAAACTCACACTGGGCACACATGCATGCGTACCCAAGATCTCAAGAGGAGAGTGGAGGAGAAAGAATTGCGGTGTGGCCATCCCCTCTTCCCCTGAGGGACGATTTCTTGCTTCCTGTCTCTCTGTCTCTCTCTGTCTTTCTGGTGAGTGCACGCGCCCTATAGCAAAAACCTCTTCGGAAAAAAAAGAAAGAAGAAGAAATACTGACTCCCAGGACCTTGTGTGTCATTGTGCTGTATCATAGCCACAAATGCCACCTTGTAAACCCTGATCTTTCCCGTTGGAGCTTTGGAGGCAGCGCAGGTCCTCACCACGCTTTCTGTTTTCATCTCTGTACCAGCTCAAGAACCTAACAGGTCTGAACCAGCGCCGCTATGTCACTGGACTCCCATGGAGTCGACTGCACTTTGAGTCCTGGACCTGGTGGTTTAAACTCACACTGGGCACACATGCATGTGTACCCAAGATCTCAAGAGGAGAGTGGAGGAGAAAGAATTGCGGTGTGGCCATCCCCTCTTCCCCTGAGGGACGATTTCTTGCTTCCTGTCTCTCTGTCTCTCTCTGTCTTTCTGGTGAGTGCACGCGCCCTATAGCAAAAACCTCTTCGGAAAAAAAAGAAAGAAGAAGAAATACTGACTCCCAGGACCTTGTGTGTCATTGTGCTGTATCATAGCCACAAATGCCACCTTGTAAACCCTGATCTTTCCCGTTGGAGCTTTGGAGGCAGCGCAGGTCCTCACCACGCTTTCTGTTTTCATCTCTGTACCAGCTCAAGAACCTAACAGGTCTGAACCAGCGCCGGTGAGAAGAAAGGTGTAAGCTCAGGTGCCTGGAAGGAAGTGAGTGGAGAGACTGAAAGGGCTTTGAGAAATACGAAGCGCCATCCACGTAGCAGGGTGTTCACGAGAACTGCCACAGCCGCTGGGAAACCTCAAGGCACTTGACGATACTGTCCTGTTCCGGGATTGGACTGCTCCTCCATTTCTGATACCAAGCCAATCCTCCTGGTGCCTTTCTGCATCGCAGCTGTATGACTGAAAAGTGGGACTCATCCAAACATTCACAGAAACCCAGCACATCCCTGTCATGGTCTCGGGCACCTGGATCCATTTATCTTTCCTAGAAATGCTCTAGGGCTCCCAGAGTTAAGGTCCGAAGCCACCACAAGGTGGCAGCTCATCCCCAGCACAGCACAGGCATGGGCACACACAGGCGGTCCTTGGAGCCTCTTCCCTCTGGGTGTCCTCGGAGGCTGCTCCTGGGATCACCCTGGAGAGCTGCCTCACCTGAGACAGGTGTCTGCTGGGCGGTGATGCGCAGCCTGCCAGAGGGCTGACTCCGGGCCTGGGGTCACATCACACTAGTACATATTGCAGAATTATTAGTGCATTTAGAGCCTGTAAAAACAATGAATAAATATGTTTGAATCAGTTTCCTCTTGTGTTCTTTCCATATAGACAAGATGGGTATCCAAGGCCCCAGGAGGAGGCAGCAGTGTATTGGGAGAGGCTTGAGGCTAGCAGCTGGGAGAACTGAGTTCTGGCCCTGATAACTGCTGGGTAAATACAGCAATTTGTATCTCTGTAAAATGGGGCTTCTAGGGGCCTTCCCCAGACCATTCGCCCCTTGGCTGCCCTTGCCTGTCCTTAGCCATTTCAGAGGGATACATTCCTTAGCTTTAGTCATTTTCTCAGCCTCTGCACTCTGCACATCTGGTTAGCCTTGTCATCCACTTGGCTCTCTCTTGCCTTCATCAGCTAAATATTGATGGGAGGAGTCAGGAGATAATCGGTCTCAGATCTCTTCTTGGCCTCCCAGTGGGTTGTCCGCACCTCTCCAAATTCTTTGTATCTCTTGATACCCCGTCAAGTTCCTGCAGTAACTATTCTGAACTCCACTGCATTCTCTCTCTTACCCTACATAGCATCCATCTCACTCAGACAATTGCAGATTTTACTGAAGTCACCGGCTGCGGAATAAAGGCTGTGCCCCTCCTCTGACTCATGGAGAGGTGTCACTGCTTGCTAAGGCAAAGTTGTCTTAATCCTCTAGTTACTGTCTTCTACCCTCTAAAGCAGTCCCTGCCAACTTCTATTTTAGGTCCTTTTTCTTTTTTCTTTTCTTTTTTCTTTTTTTTTTAATGATAGAGTACCTCTGTATGCATGAGAGAAAAAAATTATCCTCATTGATTTCCAGTTCCTTAGGATCAGGATCTCAGGTGCCTGTGTGCATGCCCAGCATGTTTTCAGGGTTTCCCAAACCATAGTTGTCCGTGTGGCTTCCAGCACCGCAGTTCAGTATGCCATGGACTGTGCTGCTTGACTGATAGCCTTTTCTCTATGGGCAGCTGCTGCTTTCCTGAGGCCCACTAGACCTCACTGGGCTGGTCTATCGATCGTATGCCTGATGTGGTGTATGGTGCCAGGCAACGAGGACATACAGGTGGAGAGCACCCACCCAACCCACAATCACAAGAACTGTGGCTTATGGAGTACTATGTTCAGGTAAAGGGTACTGAATCTTCCTGCAGCTTCCAGAAGTTCATGATCCAGACTTGAGGGTGTAAAGGGAAAAGCATCATTCAAGTGTTCTTCGCTAAAGTGTATATGCATTGTGAAAATATACTTTTGTTTTCTCCATAGATGTACAAATTTACTTCACTCTTTTAAGGGCTTTGTGTTTTCTTATATGTATGTATGTAACCAGGTTTCTGTCAGCCAATGTGTTTTATCTTTTGCCATTACTGACAGTACTGCAACGGACCTCCCTGTACATGTATCTTTTTTTAGAATTATTTATTTAATTTTACTTGTTATTATTATTTTTTTATTTGATCAGAGAGAGAGAAGTGAGAAAGCAAGCCACCAGGTCTGGGACTCAAACCACCATCAACCATGTGGTAGTCCAACGCCTTAACTGCCACGCCACCTGCTAGCCCCTGTGCAAGTATTTTTTTATTGCAACTGGAAGTACTTCTGCAGTATGAACGCTTAGAAGTGTTATTGTTGGGTCAAGGCGGTATGCATGTGGTGCCCAATTACCCTCCTAGGTGGGAGAACTGGTGCGTGCTTAGGTGGGGCTGTCCCGGCCTCCGAGCAGCAGGTGGCGCTGCCAGCGCGTTTCCACGGAAGCGGCTAGAGCCAAGCTACCCGACTTCCGGTGAGGCGGCGGCGCAGGCGCAGCGGGGCGGACGCGGGAGGGAGGCCGGCGGGCCTTGGGGCGAGATGCCGTACGCCAACCAGCCCACCGTGCGGATTACGGAGCTCACGGACGAGAACGTCAAGTTCATCATCGAGAATACGGACCTGGCGTAAGGGCTGGCGACTGTGGGGCGCCCGGAGGCCGGAGCCGGGGGTGGGGGTGGTGTCCTTCCAGAGCTGCCCCTGTGCTTGGGCTCTGGCTTTAGGGACGTGGGACGTGTGGCCGGCCGGTGGAGGCTGCGGAGCCCTCACACCGCTTGGTTTTCCATCCTTCAGGGTGGCCAATTCTATTCGGAGAGTCTTCATCGCTGAGGTTCCCATAATAGGTAAGCGAGCCCCGCCTCCTCGATGCCACACCACAAGTTCCAGTCCCCTTAACACCTTTCCCGCACACCTTGGCCTCCTGCCTTCAGTTCTTGGTTCTGGCTGGAGGTGGGGGATGCAGAGAAAGCTGCAGGTCCGTAGACTTGATCAGACGCGGTGACCACCCATGGGACTCTCTTGGCCACGCCCCTGTTCCCACGGGTCGCTTATGCCCGTCCTTAACGTAGGCATTGCTGAGGAGTAAGGATTCAGTAGTGCGCTCACGTGGTTCACATTATGCCGTTTCCATTTGTAGTCTCTGTGAAACTTGAGCAGGTTACTAAACTTTTGTGAACTGCAGTTTCCTCATCTGTAATGTTCAGACATTGATGAGATTTACCAGGGGGAATCGCAAGGATGCAGTGAGCTAATCTGCCTTAAGTGCCTTGCATTTAGTGTTTAATACTGGTAGATGTCATTTCGGGTTTTTGTAAATCTGTTCCTTATGGAGCCTGTCAGTGCCAAGAATGCAAAGCTGTGTAGATCAAGGCGTCCACACTGTTGATGGCACTCGTAGTGAAGTTGCAGGGGTAAGATGAATCCAGAGCCCACGCTAATGCGGGGTGGACTTGGCTCAGTAGCTCAGGAAGGGCATAGTACAGTGTAATTGGCGCTTGGAGGAGGCTGAGTCTGCCCCAGATGTTTTATGCACTGCCAGTACTTGTGTAAAATGCAAGTGTTTTCTGAGAGTCGGCTCGAGGGTTTGAATTAGGCAAAAGACATATAAGTCATAGCTGTTGCATCTGTTAAGACCAAATGATTAGTGAACGAGAACATTGTTGTTTCATCCCTTCTCCCCGTTGCTTTAGGACATCCTGGAGTGCTGTCCTCCTCCTGCCTAGTGAGTTTATGCCTCTGAGCCCCAGCTCATGAGTAAAATGGGAAAGTTGTGCTTCATGATGCAGCCCTGACATTCTGAGTCTATATGCCACTTTTTTCACAAATTCAGTTCTGCAAGTAATACTGAGCATCCACTCTAGGATACAAAGACATCTCAAGACCCTCCTCAAAGGAATTCTTGAAACATGAGGTAGAGACAAGACATACACAAATATTACACAAGGCAAAAACATAAACACGTTTTATGGCTTAAGGGAAGACTATGCAGAGTTTTGTAAGGGTGGAGTTCAAAGGAGGGAGTGATCACACCTGTAGCATGGAGGGCAGGCAAGGCTTGGTTTTCAGGAGTCTCAGGATTTTAATCTGTACAGGGAAAGGAAAGGACTGGCCAGAGGTTGCACCTGGGGGAATAAAAAGGCTGCAGAGCTGGCTCAGCAGGTGATGTAGAGGTTAAGGTGCTGGATCCCACATGGCCAGCTTTGTGGTTCAAGTCCTAGACCTGGAGGCTTGAGAATCTCACCAGCTTGAGAATCACACTGGGTGCTTATGTGTGCCCGCCCAAAATTTCAAAAAGAGAGTAGGGGAGAAGGGATTGTGGCGTGGCCATTTCCCCAGGAATGGTTTCTCACTTTCCCTTTCTCTGTCTTTCTCTGACAAGCACACACACACTACAGAAAGCTTAACAACAACAACAAAAAATACTGAAGCGTGTGTGTCATGGACCTTCCCTGGCTTGGGTTGAGGAAACCATGGAAGATAGCAGCACAAAGCAGATGGGGCATGGCTGTGTCTAGGCCTCGTCTGCCTTCTGTTCCTCGTGTCCACTCCCCTCATCCGGCAGTCAGACAGTCGGGTGCTAATGCCCTTTGTTCTATCTATTCATGTGCTGATGTCATTTATGAAAGAAAAAACGTGTACTTAAGACAAGTGTGTGGGAAAACAGCCCTTACCCTTTACCAGCTCCTTACTGGCAGGGGTCAGGGTTTATATCTCACATGCTGTGCCCGTTAAAGGAATTCAGTATACATATGTTGAGTGAGTGACATTAAAGTGCTAAATTGGGTGATCCATTTCATAAAATGAGAGGTGAGGCATAAGTCTGTGTTGTTCTGTGAGGTTTGCCCTAACTTTTAGGTGTCCAAATGGTTTGTGGCTTTAGATTTGATGTTGGCCCAGGTAGCAGATATAAGTGCTTCTCGTGGAACTTTTCAGCTCAAAGAAACATTCTCACCTGTGTAGTATTCCCCTAAGTCGGTGTACGGTACAAGGAGCCCCTTGCATTAAATTCACCTGGGCAGGCAGGTGTGTGTGTGTGTGTGTGGCCGGGGGGGGGGGGTGTTTATATGGTTCTTGTTAAAATGCAGATTCCTGGGCCCCAGTCAAATACTATAAAATCAGAGTCTCAGGAAGCCTGAACCCGGCCTCTGCAGTTTAGTCAGCAGTGAGTGATTTCTGTCTTAAGAATTATAAGATGAATTTGGTGGCTAAATTGCATGTCTGTTTCCTTCATTTGTAGCCATCGACTGGGTCCAGATTGATGCCAATTCCTCAGTCCTTCACGATGAGTTCATTGCTCATAGACTTGGTGAGTGCTGACCTGGGAAGGTGAGAGGGATAGTTCTGAGCCTGGTGGCAGAGGAAGAGGCTTCCTGCCATCCTCCAAGGGGTTCTCTCTGAGTTCTCATCTTGGGTTGGCTTTTGGCCTTCTTTAAAGTGCTTCTCTATGTCTTACAGGCTTAATCCCCCTCACTAGTGACGACATTGTCGACAAGCTGCAGTATTCCCGGGTAGGCTGCAGAATTGGCTGCTGTTGGGGCATGGGAGTGTGGGGGCACTTTAGAAGACAATGTAGAGATGCTGCCTAGAGCTCGAGGTTGGCCTTGTCCCTGGTTCTGATAGGGCTTTAGATTGATTAGGGTCACAGGGCGTCAGGGAGTCGTCACACGGGAGACAGGTGGGTATCCACTGAATGCGTGCACGCGCCTGGCGTGCATTTAAGCCACAAGGTCTGGGGCTCGAACCGTGGTTGACTACATGAGCGCCCAGCAACATAGCCATTATGCCAACTGCTGGTCCCCATGTTTTATTTCTTAAAAACAAAATCTAGGGCTATAAAACAAACATTACAGATACTAGTGGGGACAGTCGTACACAATTGGCCATATCTTAGTTATGCATACTCTAGGACCTAGCAATTCCTTGTTAATTTTTTTTTCCTAGTATTTAGTAAACAAAGATAATGCCTTCCTTTTTCTTAGAGATTTTTGCTACGGGTCACTTGTACCCACCAAAAAGACAGAGATAGAAAACCAGAAATCACCTCCCTTCTCCATTTTTCTCTCAGGATTTTGGGCACACACGCACATGTGCCTGGTGTGAGTTTCAAGCCTCCGGGTCCAAGACTTGAACCATGGCTGACCACGTGAGAGTCCAGCAACACAACCATTATGCCATCTGCTGGTCCTGTCCTTTTTTTTTTCTTTAAGTTTTCACCAGAGGCAGAGAAGGAGAAAGCACTCCCCTCAGTGGGGCATGGTCATGCCACAATCCCACCTCCATTTTTCCATCCTGTTGGGGTTTGGGGCGCACATGCATACACATAAGTACCTACTGTGTTTTTCAAGCACTGTGGCTGGGACTTGAGCTACAGTTAGCCATGTAGGATCCAGATCTCTTAACCACTAGGCTACGGGGCTGGCTGCCCTCCTCTCTCTCTATTTTGCTTAATTTTTCTGCAAATCTACAGGAAAGTTGAAAACAGAATAATAACTACCCATTTACTTTTGACTCACACTTAATAATTGTAAACATTTTGCTACATTTGCTGTATTATTTATGTAATTTCTTTTCCTGAACTATTGGGAAGTATCAGCTGGCACTCTTATACTTCAGAGTGCAGTCTTCTAAGAATATTGGTATTTTTTTACACAACCACACTTACCATGCCTGAGATAATTAGCATTAACATAGATAATGAATGTCTGTATTCAGTGCATATTTACATTTTCTGGCTGTCCCCCACATACCCTTTATCGGTTTTTGTTGGTGGGTTTATGATCTATAGTTCTTTAGTCCCTTCATTTCAAGTAGACTCCTCTCCTTTTTTAAAAAAAGTATTTTATTATTATTTACTATCAGGCATGTACACTCACCAGAGGTAAAGAGACGAGGTGCTGACAGGTGGAGTGGTGGTTAAGGTGCTGGACTCCCACATGGCTGACTGCAGTTTGAGTTCCAGACCTGGCAGCTTACTTTCTCACTTTCCCCCTCTCTCACTCACTCTCTCTCACTTTGTCCCTCTCTGGTCAAATTTAAATAAATAAATAAAGATAAATAAAATAATTCTTTTTTAAAAAAAAAAAGAGAGAAGGAAAGTAAGAAAGCAAGCAGCCAGGTCCAAACCCTAGTCTGCTATGTGAGAGTCCAGCACCTCAACCACCACACCATCTGCTGGTCCACAACTCCTCTCCTTTTTAATATACTTTTTTTTTTAGCTTGAAGACCTTTTCATATCTTTATCTTCCATTATAAGAATCAAAAGGCTTGAGACCAGCAGTTGGCATAATGGCTATGTCGCTGGACTCCCATGTAGTCAACCGAGGTTCAAGTCCTGGACCCAGCGACTTAAACTCATGCAGGGCACCGTGTGCATGTGTGCCCAAAATCCTGAGAGGAGAATGGAGAAGGGATTGTGGCATGGCCATCCCCCCTGGGGGAGATGATTTCTCGCTTTCTGTCTCACTGTCTCTGTCTGTCTTTCTGGTGAGCGCATGTGCCTTGTAGCAAAAACCTCTCAAAAAAAAAAGGAATCAAAAGACTCATGTACTCACCAAGGAGAGACACAGAGAGAAAAAAAGCAAGACAGCATCCCCTATGAGGCATAGTCATGCCGCAGTCCCTTCTCCATTTCTCCCTCCTTTTGGGATTTTGGGCACATGAGCTGCTGGGTCTGCTACTCAGAAAGCATGATTGGATGTGTGGGATCCTGTTGTGTAACCATCAGGCCATCTTTCTTTCTTTCTTTCTTTCTTTCTTTCTTTCTTTTTTTTTTTTTTCCCCAATTTTTGCTCTAGGGTGCTTGTGCTTGCTGGAGAGAGAGAGATGTAGAGAGAGGGAGGGAAAGTGAGAAATCACCCCCGCTAGGGATAGGTACACACACACACGTGTCCTGTGTTTTTTAAGCCATGAAGTCCAGGACTTGAACCGCATAGTCAGCCTGTGGGATCCAGCCACCTTAACTACCACATCATGGGCTGGCCCCATTCTGCCACTCTTTAGGCCACTGACTCTTGACACAACCTATCCCCATGTTAGGGACTAGCTGCTGCAGTTTAACTTCAGGCTAGAGAGAATTACTAGAGTGGTGGCATGCAAACTGTTTCTCACCACACCAGTGAGAGAACTAGTATACTTTTGATGTCTGTGAGAGACTGAGGGAGAACACAATAGCTAGCCACCCCTGGATAGTCTATAGTCACACAAGGTGAGATGGGAAGGCAACTTAGACCCTTGAGACTGAACCACCTGTAAAAACATGAAAAGGGGGACCAGTAGATGACATAGTGGTTATGTCACTGGACTCCCATGTAGTCGACTGTGGTTTGAGTCTCGGACTCAGTGGCTTAAACTCACGCCAGGCATGTGTGCATGCGTGCCCAAGATCCCAAGAGGAGAATGGAAGAGAAGAAATTGCGGCATGGCCATCTCCCGTGGGAGGTGGTTTCTTGCTTTCTGTCTCTCTGGTCTCCTTCTGATGAGTTGTACGTGCCCTATAGCAAAGAAAAAGAAAAAAAGAAAAGGCCGTAGTCTAGAACTTGGAAGGTACTTTTTTCTATTATTCCCAGGATTTTTTTTTAAATGGTAGTTACAGTCCCAGCTGGTCCATTTGGTTCATAAGAAGCTGCAGAAGGAGTGTGAGCTCATCATCCTCTCCCTAGCTACTAGCCTTGGCTCTCTGAGGAAGCAGGAGTACGCTCAGGGCCAGAGTGAGGCATCAGCAGTGCATCCCCCAGTGGTGGCCTGGCAGCTGGTGGGGACGGGAAGGAGATGTCGGTACCCATGTGTGTCTCAGTTGTCTCTGAACTTGAGCAGATGGTTACTATGAGTTGGTGTACCAGATTGTCACAGCCCACAAGAACCTGGAGACTGTGATCCACCCTTTCTTACAGAGACTCTTAAAGAACTAGGACTAGCAGCAGGGAGCCAATCAGGATTCTCCATCTCCATAGACTCACTCCTGCTTCTCTTCCTGCCTCAGGACTGCACGTGTGAAGAGTTCTGCCCTGAGTGCTCGGTGGAGTTCACCCTCGACGTACGGTGCAATGAAGACCAGACCCGTCATGTCACATCTCGAGACCTCATCTCCAACAGCCCCCGAGTCATTCCGGTCGGTGTCTGAGAGCCTCTTCCCGACCCAGGGCTTCTGCTCTTCTCTTTCCAGCTCCAAGTGGGCCATACTGGACAGGAGTCCTTAAAACACGTTGACCTTCCTTGTTACCCTGTGCCTTAACCCAGTGCAGAGAAGTGCTGATTTTGGAATCTTCTTGGGTAGAAGCATCACTGGTGCCTTGTGCCCTGTGTCACCCAAGAACCCTTAAAAAGGCTGCTGAGTTGTTTTGAGTGAGAAGGCATCATTGCACCATCAAGTGGGGTTGGAGGCCCAGGAGGCACCCCTCGCAGTTGATTGAGATTGTGATTTGGAGGTAACAGGAGATGGGAGACGAGCAGTTAATTAATGCCTGCGTTTGGGCTCCCTGCAGGTGACATCACGGAACCGAGATAATGACCCCAATGACTACGTGGAGCAGGACGGTAAGGGGCTTGAGAGAGTGCGGGCATCTTCGTGACTGTTGCTATGTGGGCCAGAGGGAGGCAGAAGCCAGGCACAGCTGCTTGTGCTGCCTGGGCTCCTGGTGCATTGGCCCGGGACCCAGATGTATGTGGTCTTCTCGCGGCCCTCCCAATCAGAATTCGGAGTTCCATGCCTCTCCCAGCCCCTGATTGACTCCCACCCCTCCCTGCAGACATCCTCATAGTCAAGCTGAGAAAGGGCCAGGAGCTGAGACTGAGGGCCTATGCCAAAAAGGGCTTCGGCAAGGAACATGCCAAGTGGAACCCTACTGCAGGGGTAGCTTTCGAATATGATCCAGACAATGCGCTGAGGCACACAGTGTACCCCAAGCCCGAGGAATGGTATGTTTCCATCTGGAGTGAAGGCAGCCATTTGGGGTGTGGGGGAGTGGTGGAATAGGTCATTGATGACCGATGTGGGGCTGGCTGTCCATGAACTTAAGTGTCCTGAAAGCAACAGTGGCAACTCTGACCTGTGTTTGACCTCAGGCCAAAGAGCGAGTACTCAGAGCTGGATGAGGACGAGTCCCAGGCTCCCTATGACCCCAACGGCAAGCCAGAGAGGTAAGATCCCAGTCTGGCCCAGAAGGTATGGTGTGTAAGAGTGCACAAGCTGAGTCAGGCAGTCCCTGTCCCTCCCATTCCAGTTCTCGCAAGGGACTGAACTGAGGAGGGACTCGAACTGCTGAAGTAAAACTCAGATATGCGCATGTCTGGGCCCAGTCATCGTCCCTGTTTTGGTCACTCTGAGAAAGGGGCCCACCAGTTACCCACTGTCTGTATTCTGATTTCTACCCCCAAGAAGAGGTCCAGCAAGGGATAGAAACTGACTCGGGTCCTCCCGTGAGGAGCATGAAGGGGCTGGAGCACATGGTCACTGCTTATGTGATCCTGCAGTGTCTCTTGAGTGTAGAATACTCAGATCCCTACTCGGCTCAGTGCGGGACACCTGGAATTGCCTCAGAATTTCCACAGTAACCTTTTCGAGGGAAATGGTGTCTCCTTGAAGTCCTGCAGAGTGGTTGGGACCACTCTGTGTAAGAGGTGTTAGGAGAAAGGAGACCATCCTGGGCAAGGTCAGGTACCTGCCAGAATGGAGTTACGTGCAGGAGGAGGAAGGGGCCCATGGCCAAAGCTTGGGCCAGCAGCTTGCCCTGGAGGGCTCTCATCAGACTCTCCTCTTAGGTTTTACTACAATGTGGAGTCCTGTGGTTCTCTGCGCCCAGAAACCATTGTCCTCTCGGCCCTCTCGGGATTGAAGAAGAAGCTGAGTGACTTACAGACTCAACTGAGCCATGAGATCCAGAGCGACGTCCTAACGATTAACTAGCTGCACTCGCCTGTGTTCAGCAGCGGGGACTCCGGCCAGTGGGATTGTAGTCTCTAGGAACTCCCCCCGTGCCGGGGCAATAGATGGCTGTTACTCAGGCATCTCTGCAGGCCACCAGTTCCAACCGGCAGGGGTCACAGGCCACTAGGGATGCCGCTGACACGAGCACAGGTTTTCCTGGAGCACCCCTGGCTCTGCCTGCTGTGAGCCAGTAGTGCTCCCCAGAACTAGGACATCCCTTCCACCGTTTGACATGCCTGTAGGGGGCATACTGCTTCCCTGTCGAGAACCACTGAGTGGGATTTCTCTCCTGATCATTCAGCTCTGTACTTTAAACCCTTTCTATCCAAAAGGAAGGGCTTTCACAGATGGGAGTGCCAGGACTTTCATACTGCTTACAAATCCTTCTAGTCCCTTCCCCCGGGCCAGCCTACTGGTACTTCAATTCCCAGGTATCCCAAAGTAGCCCTTTGGGAATAGCATTGGAGCGTGGCTGTCCTCTTCCCCCACAAATAAATATGCTGTTTCATTCTCTATCCATTGGTTATGAAGTCCTTCACGGCCAGCAGTCTATAATCGAGTAATTCAGCGGCACAGGGTGTGGGGGGGACCAGAATAGGAGGGGTGGGAGGCCCTCCCACATCAGTGGTTTCTCCTTCATGAGGTTTCTGGCTCTGACCACTTAGCTCCGTCTCCAGGTAGAGCACATCCAAAGTGTTAATCAGGCAGCCTGGAGGAAACCAGAGATCCAGTACAGAAAGGAAGGGATATTTATTGATTGACAATAGCTGTCTTTTTAAAAGTTTTTATTTTTGGCAATAAAGAGCACAACATAACCTCCTTCATGCGTCATCGTGCCACCAGCTGAGCCAGCCAGCTCTGCTTCCCTCCCCAAGGTCTTCAGACCCCAGCTCCCCCATCCAGGCTAGCGGAACCCTCTGCTCATTCCCCGAGTCACATTCAGGGCTGAGCTGGCTGTGCCACCCCCCTGGCTCTTGGGTTCCTTTGGGAGGGGCCTCTTGCTTTGTCATCTCCTGCCACAACTTGAATAGTGGTTATTTACAAGGTCTATTCCCACAAATCAGAGACCTAAAGTATTTTTTAAAAAAACAAAAAACAAGAAAACCACGCAACCAAAGGTTTGATGTGAATAGAAAGATAGCCCTTCTGCACGGTAGTCAATAAATACCAGCACTAGAAAATCAATTGCTTTAATTGCATTTCAGCAGGGAGCCTCAGCACCATGTGGGGAGGAGGAAATGGGAAGGTCTTGGTTTCTGAGTGCCTTTGGCTGGCCAGAGGGTGGCCACACAGGGCGGAGGGCCTCCCTCTGCTGGGCAGCATCCACCCCTGGGCAGGGGTGGCAGGGTGCTAGGGCAGTCCTGCCTGGCCTTCCCTCCTGGCCTGGCCCTGGACAGGCACGCACTCCAGCCATCCTCCACCTGACTGAGGTAATCAGTACCCCCGCCCGAGGGCATCTTCTCAGCCTCCTAAGCAGGAAGGAGCCTGTGCAGAAATTACATTTTAAAACCAGATTTTCACCTGAGGCGGCAACCAGATGTCACCTCTGCTTAAAATTCCCAAGTGGGAGGCTGCCAAGTGGCACTATGGAAGTTCGGATCCTTCCTGTGCCACTCAAGGCCAGGAGGAACTGCAAAGCCACCTGGTGTCTCGGCCCCTGGGCTGCCAGCAGTCGGAGTGCCAGCCTTGAATTCTGATTGTCCCCTCCGCTAGCCCTGGCAGCTTGAGCAGGTCCTGACAGCAGGAGGCTGGACGATGGAGGACAGGGAAACAGCTGCCCTCGTACTCAAGTAGCCTTGGCCGTGGCCTGACCGTGGGGTTAAAAAAATGTGTATGTGTCGGCAGGGGGGGTGGGGGGAATCTCAGTAATATAGAATATGTTGTAAGCCATATATATTAAAATCATTAACAGTATACAGTCCCAGGGTAGCTCCAGCCCCTCACACATGCTCAGGTGCTGTGGCCAGCCCTTTGCCTTGGTCCAGCCTCACCCTTTGGGGCAAGGGGGGGTACGGCTTGCTCCACTGCGGGCTCCTGGCCAACAGCCCTTCGAGGCTGTCCTTAGTACGCTGCAGTCAGCCCTGCAACAGGCAGCCCTCTGCAGTCATCGGTGCACGCCAGACCTGCTGTCATTGTGATGGGGTCTTGGCCTCGCTGCTCTCCCCCGGGGTGGACTTTGGCTTTAGCAGGATGAATCTGTTGAGGAGGTCCGTTTCTGAGCTGGCCTGGGCTGCCCCATACCCCTCACCTGTGGGCACAGAAGCAGGCTCAGACTCAGATCCAGGTCAAAAGATTCCTGCTTAGCAGGCCTCGTCCTCCACGGGGCATGGGGCACAGCAGCCACTCACCGGCAAAGCTGGAGGATTCGGCGATGTTCTGGGAGCCCGTGATGTGGTGCCAGTAGGCGCTACGGGGAAGCATGGTCGTGGGCGTGCAGGGGTACGAGTAGTGTTCCGTGCCCTTGTTCAGCAGCTGTGAGTGAGAGAAGGGTCTGTCGAGTTAACTTGGGCAGCGGCTAATGTCATCCCTGAACCGCCAGCCCAAGCCCCTGCCTGCCTCTGCTGTACGTGCTAGCCAGAGACTTAGCCCGCAGACCCCTGGCACTCAGGCCGACGCCATTGCCTTACCCTCACGTTCTTCTCCATTTCCAGCAGGACCCGCTTGTGCTGCTCGGCGATGGCCAAGGTGGCGCTGTGGACCCGCTGGTAGATCTGTTCCCCCTCCTGTGTCTGGAAGGTGTAGAGCCCTTCCCCAGCATCACACATCCTGGGGACACAGGTGGCATGAGGGCAAGGTAGTAAGGACCCCCAGCCCACACATGTACGTGCTTGACCGAGCTCTTCTGCGTGAGCGGTAGCTGCCGTCTGGGAACAGGCAGGGCTGTGGTCTTGGTGACTGTCCACAAGTTCAAGTGTGCCGAGCGTGGCCTATGTGCCAGGCGGTGGTCTACATGCGGTCCAAGTCAGCCCATTCGACCTTCTCCCCCCACCAACCCGGTCTGTGTACTAATACTGTGTCGTCAGAAAAGTCATGATGCATTTTTGCAAAGAAAAGCAGAAAAATATGCCTTGACTTTTCCAGCAACCCAGTAGTTTACTCATTGTGTATTTCCTCAAACCAGTTCACAGATGGGGAAACTAAGGCACAGAGAAGCTAAGTCACTCAGCTAAAGTCACATACAGGGTTACCCAGAATTTAGGCAAGGTTACAGAGTTCAGGCGAGGGGATACCCAATCTCAGCATAACTCGGTGAGGCTGGGTACTTCCATGATCCTTTTTGACAGGTAGGACAGCGAGACTCAGGTTCATAATCAGGGCCAGCCAGCATGTGGGCCCAGGCCGTCTGACTTGGTAAACAATAGCAACAGAGCTGCCTGTTACAGGTAAGTTCTTAGCCTGGACATGGGACTGTCACATTCCCCTTTGTATTGCTCTATACTGCCTAACAGCACAGGGTGGCCACCACCCTGGCCGTGAAGGGACAGGCGGGGAGGCGAGAGGACCCTACCGGCCAGCCTCGAAGGTAAAGCGTGTGGCATCCCGGCCGTAGCGGCGCAGTGAGCAGAGAGGCCACGAGACGAGCTTCACGCGGGGGTTGTGCGTGTCCCAGAGGTAGATGTTCTCGTGGGTGATCTGCAGTTTGCACTCGCCGTACACGTCCAGGTTGGGGCAAGGCAGCAGGAAGACGTTGAAGCGGTCTGGAGGAGGGAAGGACAGAGAGGCCGAGACCTCATCCTCATCTTCCTCCTCCTCTCCCCCTCCTCTCCACTCCCACCCCAGGGACAGAGCCAGGCCTCACCTGTCTGCTCACACTGCACCCCTGGGGCCAGGAGGTCAGGCTCTCCCAGACTGATGTCGTTGAGCCGGGACCCCAGACACTCCACAGACAGTGTCTTGTACCACTCCTCCGCCTCCAGCTCTGAAGAAAACGCCACCTTGTCATCTGCCACTCAGGGTTCCCAGCAGCCCACCCCACCTGCTTCCTCTGAGGGGTCCCATCCCGCCAGGCAGGGAGGGCAAGGCTAGTGGATTCTGCTCGCCTGCCTCACCTCAACCCTGGGCACCTGCTCCGTCAAAGGCACGCACACCCCACCCACACATCACCATCACCATCTCCAGCCAGGGTTGGCCCCAGCCTGCCTCCTCCTGGCTGGACCACTGACTAAGACCAGCCCAGAGAAGGCCAGGTAGCGGCCTGCAGCCCCAGCACCTCACCCGAATCACAGGTGAAGGTACGCGCCGAGTCATCAGTGAATATGATGGCTACCGCCTGCCTCTTGGTCTCCTTGGGGAGCCGGGTGACACACTTGACATTACTGATTTCAGTCACCTAGGACAGCAACCACAGGGAGTTAGCCAGGCCAGAGCACCTTCCTCTGTATCCCCCACAGCTCTGCCACCCTCAGGAAGGTGCCGTTGGCCCTCAGGACTCAGCAAATCATCTTTGCTGCCCCCTAACCTTGGGGCAGCCTCGAAGGCACACTGATTTCTCATCTGGATACTTCTCCAGCCTCTGGGGCCCTTTGCTGGAGGATTTCCGGAACACCAGCCAGCACCTCCGGTAGATCTGTGGAGCAAGATGATAGGAGGGACCAGCAGTTAGCATAATGGCTATGTTGCTGAACTCCCATGTAATTGACCCATGGTTCGAGTCCCTGACCTGGTGGCTTAAACTCACACCGGCGGGAACCAGCAGTTAGCATAATGGCTTTGTCGCTGGACTCCCACATAGTTGACCGCGGTTCGCGTCCTGGACCCGGTGGCTTAAAACTCACGCCAGGCGCGTGTGCGTGCGTGCCCAAGATCCCAAGAGGAGAATGGAGAAGGGATTGCGGCGTGACCATCCCCCCCGGGGGGGTGATTGATTTCTCACTTTCTGTTTCTATGTCTCTCTCTGTCTGGCGAGTGCACGCGCCCTATAGCAAAAACCTCTCCAAA